GTTGTATGGTCGAGTAATGATAAAGATTGGTTTATTGAAGTTTTGGTTTTAATGTTTGATGGTTGTGTTTAATGCTAGAGAAAATCAACTGTTGATATTCTCTTGGTTCAATGTGACGCCATTGGATAGATGTTCAACCATTGCTACCCTCCAGGTGCGAGACGCAGTTTATAACCTTGGGAAATAATTGAATTGAAAGGGAAAATATCACCTTGTAAAGCCTGATAATAAGTTTCTGAGATAAGTTTTTCCACCGGCAAGGACAGTAAACTCAACTGGGACCGTTAATTTGGGCAACTTCTCCGAAAAAGCTTTCTACGCTTGTGCCAACACGAGTAGAAATAAAAGGTAGTTTCCTAGTTTCTAAGAAAACTGTCTCGTGTGCATGGACAGGCAAGTGAAAATTGTAGCACATTATCCAGTAGAAGTTGATAAATGTACATAAGACGCCATATGAATTTTGAAAAACTGACGTTTTTGAGGTCGACGTTTTAGAGGGGACGTTAAAGAACCCACTTCACGAGATTACTGTGATGTGGTCTGGTCTGGTTACTGGGAATTGGGGGCAGAGGGCCTCTATTATATTCGCCTTCATTTGATTGTAAACTGCTTAGCAGTCTGGTAAAGTCCCCCGTACAGTGTTATAATGCGCAATTGAAAATTTACAATGATAATTGCGCGATAGAAACTGATAAAATTGTTAATTATTATTATTATGGCTCGAAACATCGGTGTTTAAAACTCCGGCATTCACTTTCAACAGTGTTATGTTAGTAATCACTCCAGTTTAAAACGAACAGTGGATGTGTTATCCGTCTGGTACCTTTTTCAACTCCAGATCGCCCAAATAAACGCGCAACCGAAGAAAAATACAAAATTGACCGGGCACAAACAACTTCCGTCGCGACTAACTTACGTCAGTAGCAGAGTCAGTAGCAAACAACTGAAAAAAACGCACTTGATAACCGCGTTATCAAATTTAAAGGCTTAAGCAAAGTATTCTGCTCTAGTTGGAAGAAAATTGAGTTGGGCTAAACACTTATCGCTTTCTTATTGCTTTCCGTGTGCTCCTTTATCCTAGTAGAAAAGTGGCGACCAGTTTCACCATTATAACGGAAATTGCATCCCGCACAAGAACATTGGTAAACTACCATGGATTTTAGAGCATCAGGAGTACGATCTTTAACACTAAACATGTATTT